TATATTTTAACCAGACGCATGTGTGGTTTTTCCCTCCTCCCCCAAGACAGCTTTTTTTTTTTTGGTGGAAAGAAGTTTGTGAGAGAGTTTTAATCATAAAACTCACACACACACACACACACACACACACACACACACACACCCACCCCGCCCTTGGAGGACTGAATGAAAATGACCTCTCTCTTGAGTAAACACAGTAAGGGACTGGATGTGGCTAACCTAGAATAAACCGGGCACACAAGATTTCTCAAAGCTCGTCCAGGGACAGTAGGCAAGACAGCAAACCTGAGCTGTTCTATGGCAGGCAGGAGTACAAGGACAACAACTGCAAGTTCAGGTGCTGATGGGCTCATATGCACTGAAACAGGCTTCTCTACACTGTTTTGGCGCTGAGGTTTGTGTCCAAGAAGTACATGCTGCAGCCCCCTCTGATGCACAGCAAGGCTAGGTTTCCAAGAGAAGCAGCAAACCATGGCATAAGTCAACAGGTTTCCTGGGAATATATATCTTTAGTCTAAAAAAGGCAACATATTGATTTAAAGGTAAGCGTCTGCCCTAAACCAATAAAGACAAGAGAGATGCTGAGGCCCAGTGATCACTACAATTGTTTGCAGATCTGCTGAGGCAGAAATACAGGAGCACATAAGCATACGGCCACCTAGCTGGCCACCCAGTGCTACGCCCTCTAAGTACTGGGTTATTTTTGTGTACCTGCCTATGTCTCAATCAACACTGTCTGAAAACTGCTGTCTTCAGGTTAAGGCTGCATCGTTTGACCCCAGTCCTCTTTCCTGCCATGGCAGGGGGTTGGACTTGATGATCTGCTCAGGTCCCTTCCGACCCTACCAACTATGAAACTATGAAGCTGCAGCCTGTAGTTTGACAAGCAGGGCTGGAGATGGGTGGGAACTGAACAAATATATTTCAACCATAGGGGTGTTTATTTCCACTTGAGAACTCTGCACCATATACTGCTAGAAAGCCCATGGTCACCACAGAGCATTGGTCCAGACACCATGCCACAGGGGTGTCCTAATGGTCAACTGACCTCTCTACCCCATGTGAAATACTTTTGTGGTGCCGGATTTAGCACTAAGGGCATAAGGCAGCTGTGAAAACGGCAGAACACATATAGGTAGAGCAGTATAATTTCCCCTCCTCCTTTCTGCCCAGCATGCCTCAGCTTTAAGCTGGGAGAGGACCGCTTTTTCTGGCGAAAGGCAGTTCACCCTGTAGAGCCTTTCAGAGCTTGGCCATGCTGCTGAAATTGCCAGTAAAATGGCTGATGCACTGTAACGGGAGTGCTACTGAATATTCACCTGCAAGAAGCTAGTCTGAAGCCGTCAGACTAGTTGCCCCCCTTATATGTGGGACTCGGGAGTGCCAGGATTCATTTCTCCAAGCCCAGAGAAGCTCTGGAGAAGCCATCGCTCTCTCAGGCTTTTCAGAGCCAAGCCTGCATTCCCTTTCCTTTGAGCACCTCCTCCAGTAGCAGGAACTGGAGCGGGCTGTGCTACCAGGAATGAACCAGCAAATGCAAAGAACTCTCCACCACATTACTGTCTGTTTACGGCCCTTTGGAAACATGCTGCCTGTTGCTAATGCTGCTTTCTGAAGGATGTATGTTTGCAAACCTTTGCCAAGAAGGAACCTAGTGCAAATGAGCTATTAAACTTGGATATCCTGATGAAAAAATATTTACAGAGGAATCTCCTTAAAGGGATATGTGCCAGTGGAATAACCCTGGTAGCAGGCTATTTTTCTGTGTGCTGGAAGGCATGTGCTTAGCAGGTTCCATGCCCCTATGTTTTATACATGCTTAAGGAGGGTGAAAAAATTGCTCAATAAAATTCTCCATTAAACCATAAACAGGCTAGGCTGGTGACCTCTCTTCATCATTTGTGTAGCCAGTTGAAAGCCCCGACTAGCACGGAGTGGCCAAGAACCCACGGAGGAGAGTAGACTCCTTCTTCTAAGTGGTGTAGGCTCAGCAAAACAACTCGCTCTGCTGAGAAGCGATAAGAAGGTCACACACAAAGCCAGGCTAGAAACAGGAGCAACTGGACACACACAAAAAAGCAAAAAGGACGTGAATATTGGAAGTGTATGAAGCTTCTCCTGCTGGGGGAGCTAGCGCACTTGTGTTTGCACAGAACATGTGCTTGTGTTCCCAGGGATTAGTCATGCACAGCCCACAAAAGGGTTGGAATATGTATCTTGTTCTAATAAGTGTCCAGGACTTTGGATGCTTAGCTGAAGCATGCACAAACATGCACAAGGCAAAGTTGGGAAAGATGTGTGCTGAGAAAGTACCTCATCCTGACACCTCGGCATCCTACAGGGAAGGTCCTGTGATACTTGGGTGTGTTTCATCCTAGAAATGTGAGGAAAGAAAACTTAGCAGATTCTTTTGGACGCTTCAAGGTGAATTCCATGCTCAGTTCCGGTGTGGGACCAGTTCTAATTTTTCTCTCTCTCACCATGACTCTGTTAGAAATGGGATGTCTAAAGGGATTGTAGAGAGTCTGCGAGTCCAGACATGGGCTTTTACCCATTCTTCCCCCCTCCCCAAACTCCTCTCTTCTTCCTCCTCCTCGCACTCTCTCACCCCGAGTTAAACAGCCTTGCTGCCTGCTAGCATGACACAAATCTTGCAGCTAGCCAAAGAAGATTTTGCTTCTTCACTGTGGGTAAAAGTTTTTTCTCACTCTTTGATGACTGTTTTCAGGACACAGCAGCCCCTATTCCCATTTCTTGGTTCAAATGCATTTACCAAGTTCTGGGAATGTGGCATTCAGCAAAATGTAAAACAGACTGGTGGTGTTCCAGCTGAAGGGCTTGCTGAATGCCAGATCCCAATTCAAACAGAGCAGACAAAAGAGTCACAAATTACTGCAAATCTGCTCCCATCCAATTTACTAATTAAACATCATTTACTGAACAGTAAGTGCCTAATTGAAGGAGCTGAGCCACAGCAGCAAAGGTTTTGTGGGGACAAGGACTTCTGCCATTTCAAGAGACAACATTGTCTTTTGTCTTGTCAAGAGATGAGACTAAAATCAAGAAGACTGCTGAACCCATCTGCCAACAGCACAATGATAAAGCACCTTCCAGGAGAGAAAAGGAGCTGGCTGGAGAGCAAAAGCTATTGCTTTGCTTAGCCCTAATTTTGCAAGTCTCTTCACTTTGTGAAGGCTGGATCTGGTTTTCACCTGTATTAAAGTAGCGTTTCAATTATTCACACTACAGCTGGCAAGAACATCCCTGCCTCTCTAGGTACTTATTATCCCATCACCATAGTTTCCAAGTCGTTTTTCTGAATGGAAAGAATGTCAAAGGCTGATGCTTGGTTCACTACCCCAGTGCGTTCCCTCTCCACACATGGGGAAGAAACACTAAGCTTTTTGTCATTTTTGACCAGACAATCGCAGTCAGTAAACTGAAAGGAAAGGTAACTGGCAGAAAAAAGTGACCACAGAGCAGTTCTGTGTAAGAGGATATACCAAGAAGCATGACTGGTATGGTACAGACACCCTGACCTAAAAGCTGACCCAGCTCACACCAGACAGTACAAAAGGGATACAGAGCCTTTTCACTTCAAAGCACCCTGTTCAAATCCTGCCTTGGTCTGTAGTGACTGTAAGTCAAAGTCTTTTGGCCTGTGTGAAATAACTCATGGTTTCAGTCCAGTGCCTAATGGACAACTGTCCACATCACAAAACCCACCACCACCATCACCTGGCAGTCAAGTTTGATACCCTGATCTCTCCAACTCCTCCTTTCCTTGCCAATGGATCTCCACCCCTGTTTACATCATGGCAAAACAACTGCAAAGCTTATGCTAGTAGAAGAGCAACTGATCACTTTATCTCTGGGGGTGTTATTTTCTAGGATGCAGACTGGCCCTTCTTTGGGGTCTTGTTATGGCTGGAAGGATAACATTAACAATGCATGCTCCAGACTTTATTTTATGGAGAAAATATGCTTTTAAATAAAACAAGATTTAGGAATGACCTCTGCTTTCACTTAGATACACATATTAAACTAGAGCAACACCATTTTCATTGATTATTACTATTGTCTGTGTTACATCAGCATCAGCAGGCCTCAACTGACATCAGGGCTCCCAATGCACTAGGAGCTAAGCCAGGTTTATACCACCTCTCCACCAGTTCTGGAATCACTGCCAACAAATAAGTCTGACCTGCATTCACTCCTGCTCCACCTGCACCCAAGCCAGGTAAGGGGGTCAAGTAGGTAACTTCATGGGCCCTGAAGGTGCACTTCAGCACTTCTCAGGCTTTCCTGAAAACAGTGCCGGGGCGTGCTCAGGACCTCTCCAAACTTTCTGCCTCACATAATTGGTAGGTCTGGGCTCAGGTCCAGCGGGATTGAGTGGGCTGGGCTTGCTTCATAACAGCAGTCCTGGGTATAGCAGGGAGGCAGTACAGATCTGGCTATAGAGGCAGGGTCTTCCCTGGGTAGCGAGCATTCCTAGTACACGAGAAACAAAGGACAGAAGGAAGGAAACCGTTTTCTACCTACTATACAGGTGGGGAACCAAGAGACAGCAAGCCCCAAATCCTCAGAAGTATTTGTTACTGATTCACTGGGAGTAAAGCATCTGAATAGGAGTTAGGGGCCTAAATACCGCTGAGGATCTGGGCCTAAATGACTTGCCAAAGCCAAGCAGGAAATCTGTGTTAGAACCAGAAATGGAAATTGGAACAGGAGACCTGAATAAAAGAAATCCTTTCATTTGAATCCCAAATAACAGAAACATTTCCTCTTCGTCTCCAAAATATGCCTATAGTATTTTTTCTGTGAGGAGGCAAAGAAGGAGTACCCCTCTACTGCTCTATGTTTCCCTTACAGTCTGACCCATACAATTGGGATCTCTGAATAATTCAATTCCTTGCCGCGGCTGACTGCCATATCTGTGAATTCGTTTTTTCTCCCCCTTTTATTTTTTGTTGTTGTTGCTTTATTTTTACTTTCAGTCCAACTGCAGCTAAGCGCGGAAAGCGTGGGTGTAGTGTATATAAAGAGCACCAAGTCTGGACAGTACTTGGCTATGGACACCAATGGCCTTTTATATGGATCAGTAAGTATGAGGTTTGCGTGGTCCCAGACATGGAGAGGGTTTGAGGTTAGCAGAAATCTTGCAGCCCTGAGTAATGGAACCCACACAAGCAACAATTAGTCTGTTTGTTATTTTTGCAGCTGGATTGCCATGCTTTGCCCAAGTTTATTTTTGGGAAAATAAATAAATAAGTAAACCCCATTGCAGCATTGCTTCAAAATACTCAATACGTCCCAATTCCTATTTTAGCAGCAGCAATAGCAGCAGCATTAACCTGTCTCTTTTGCTGAGTGTTCTCAGAGACAGGCCCTGGGAAGGGCACTGTATAGGCAAGAAAACCTATAGATGACAATGGAGGTGCACCAGGGTTTGCCACAATCCTGTTTTATAAAACCCACTGGCTAGCATGCATGGCATGGGACTAGACTGGTGACCATACGACTTGATTTGGCTGGAATCCGGAAGTGCCGCTCCACCTCCCCACCACACTCTGGCCTGGGACTTTTAACCGGCCTGCAAAACCCAGGAGTGTCACAGCCAAATCAGAACATGTGGTCACCCTCCAGAGGACCCTTCATTCTGCACTGTGAGTGGGTCACTGTATCCTGCAACTGCTAAGTGAATCTGATGCCTAGGATCAGTGCCAAATTGAGGCAAAGCTTCTGGTTCTGACCAGCTTTGCTGAATTCCTTATTCAGTGCATGGCGTTCAAGGGCTGAAAGCGCTCATGAATTCACCTTAGAGATCTCCTCCACAGTTGCACCTAGCAACTCAGCAGCTGTAGGAAAGGTGACCAACTGCACTGACTTGGATGGAATTAAACCAGGAATGAATGTGGCCCGTTATATTTAAAAACACAGGGCATCTGACTGGAGGGGACCTCCTGAGTCATCAAGCTACTGTCTCACAATCTCATTCGTAAACTTCCCAACCTATACCCAAAACTTGGTGAAAGTACACTCTAGGTGCTGTTGAGCAGGTGGGGTGCACTGCCAGGGGAACTGTTTTCAGAAAGGACAGTATCCCAGCCCTGTTGTAGCTAACTAAAAGGCAGGTGCCATGAACAAGTTACTGTGATGTCAAGAGAAATTTGGGAATCCAAAGAAAACTACTTAGCAGAAAAAAACTTGCTCTGCTTTTGAGCCATGTCAATAAAAAGGTCAGGTGTCATGGTCTTAAAGGTTGGGTTTTGATAGGACATTATTGGCAAATTAGCCCCACTGACATTACCTAGATCAGAGGCAACTGGTAGGGGGGGCATGTGCCCCCCCGAGATTGGCCCTCAACTTGGCACCGCTCAGGACAGGGCAATTTCCTTGCCGCACAGGCTGGTGGTGTGTTGGGGGCAGGAGGGGCACTAAGCCATGGAACAGAAGTATGGGAGTAGATATGGGGCTTTTGGCCCACCCCTGGGTCTGCCCACAAATTGTGCCCTGCCAGACTCAGGAGGAACTAGTCACCCCTGGCCCAGATAACTGCAGTTGTATACAACAGCCAGGGCAGTGCTTATTCCATTTCTTCCTCATTTTCAGCAGTTAATGAGCGAGGAATGCTTGTTCCTGGAAAGGATGGAAGAAAATCATTACAACACATACACATCTAAGAAGAATGCAGATAAGAACTGGTTCGTTGGCTTAAAGAAGAATGGAAGCACCAAACTGGGACCACGGACTCACTATGGCCAGAAGGCAATCCTTTTCCTTCCGCTGCCAGTGTCAGCTGATTAGAAGATCCTACCCCAACTGCCATAAGACAACCCTGAATCTTACGCATCAACTACCACCTCTTCTCTCTTTCTCTCTCTTTACTGGCTAGAGTGACAAAGAGATTAACTGTATGACCAGACGCGTTCAGTATTTAAATGCTTTAAAAATTAAAATCAGAGCTGTTTAGTTTTGTACTAACCAAGTTTTGCAGAAATGAGGGAAACTTCTCCCTGAACAATGGACAAGTTGTGCCTTCACTTCCTTCTTGTTTTCCGTTGTCCATTGTCAGAGCTGTACAATAGGAGCTTTGGCACTAGAGGTAAAATGTGTGCAATGAAAAATGCAAAATGACTCCAAAGGATATGCATATACTCTGCTACAGAGCGAGCACACAGGTACGTTATTGCCCTTAATGCATGGCTTAAAATAACACTAAATCACGTGGTTATTGCCAGGGGAATACACACTTAGAGCCAGCATGTCTGTTTTCTAGTCATAGAAAAGTGAAGTTCTCCTGGAATAGATTTATTAAAATATCTATCTAGACGGTATATAACACACATAAACAAAAATGAAGATGTATCAATATCCATTGTATCATGTGCAAGCAGTCAAGAACGGTGAAAAAAGTTTGTATAAAACTAACCACAACCTACGCTTTTAAAACCTAGCCACTACTCCTTTCTTACTCCACTCATATTGTTAAATTCCTTATTAGTCCCCTTCATATGTAATTTGTATTTATTTATTAAGTGACTGTGTGCATTTTAAACAGGTCAATAATAGTAAGTATAGGCATTCAAAGTCACTTTATGTTCTCTGAGCAAGGATGTAGATGACTGAATGACGCAGATCTCATTTTGCCAGGGTGGTTTCAGGGGAGGGCATGGCGGAAAGGGAAGTGGTTACTTAACAATATTGTTTTAAAACAATTCCCTGTTTTTATTTCACTCTAAAAGTCTATTTTTGACTTGAAGGTGTAATTCTATTTTGAACAGACATAAAAATGGCATCCCGCAGCTTCATGGTTAGCACCCTTCCAAATCACGAGCTGAACTTATCAATAAATAGATATTTTCTAACTACCAGCTCAGCCGTCTCGGTCAACCAAGGTTCCTCCCACCTCGTGCTTTAAACCAATAGCAAGTGCTAAGTCGATTGCATTCTCTTGACCATACCCATGGAAGCCTCTTGACATATGTGTATTTGCATGAGTGGAACATGCCTGAAGCAACTCCAGTGATAAAGCACAAGGCAAGAGTGAATCCAGGTTATTTTCCCACAACTGTACACAGCCAACAATGCTTCTGTGAGTAAAATGCAGTAAAACCTTATTCATAGATTCATAGATGTTAGGGTCGGAAGGGACCTCAATAGATCATCGAGTCCGACCCCCTGCGACTCGAACTGTGAAGAAGTTCTTCCTAATGTCTAGTCTAAATCTGCTCTCTGCTAGCTTACGGCCATTATTTCTTGTAACCCCCAGGGGTGCCTTGGTGAGGAGAGCCTCACCAATTCCCTTCTGCGCCCCCATGATGAATTTACAGGCAGCCACAAGGTCGCCTCTCAACCTTCTCTTGCGGAGGCTGAAGAGGTCCAGGTGCCCTGGTCTCGCCTCATAGGGCTTGGCCTGCAAGCCCTTAACCATATGAGTGGCCCTTCTCTGGACCCTCTCCAGGTTATCCACATCTCTCTTGAAGTGCAGCACCCAAAACTGCACGCAGTACTCCAACTGCAGTCTAACCAGCGCCCAATAGAGGGGAAGTATCACCTCCTTGGTTCTGTTTGTCATGCATCTGCTGATGCATGATACAGTGCAGTTAGCTTTGCTGATGACTTTGTTACACTGACGACTCATGTTCATCTTGGAGTCCATTGGGACTCCGAGGTCCCTTTCTGCTTCCATGCTACCAAGCAGGTCATTTCCTAGGCAGTAGGTACTTTCCTAGACAGGCACTTTCCTGTGTAGACAAGCTGAACAGAGATGGCATTTTTACCTAACTTCCTTTCAGAACAGAACCAATATCCAGTGTAAATTTACAACAGGGCTGTTCATCCGATCTGCACCTATACTCCTGGAGTGTACATGCCTACAGTCTAGGAACCTACAAGCCCTACTAATAGTCTGTATTCAGATGTAGCTCGCATGGTCCTTTGAATGATAACATAATCCCAGGGTGGGTTTAAACAGAGATAGACAGCAAAATGAGCAAAAACACAATGAGAAATCTCGATGCTTAATGACAGAAAGAAAATGGCTTGCAACTATCTTACTATTGGCATAGTGACTGTAAGTAAAGTTGTTTAAAAATCAGTCATCCATCTAACTATTTTGAATGTGGAAGTGCAAAATGTAAAGGTAATATGGTACAGTAGCACTATAATAAAGTTTATCAAGTGGTATAACACAAAATATACCTTGAGTTACAAGTGATATACTGCAGGATACTACATGACTTCAATGGATCTCAACTGGTGGGACACATGGAGGTGTTATGGGTAGGAGTCCGCCGAACTTGAGGCAGCTGCCGGCCAATTTCACATGGAAATCATGAGCCATTTTTGTGGGTGGAGCACAGCAGGGCCTGCCACACCTCTGTTTGGCCAAGGGGGCATCGGTGGCCCCGCCCCTTGCCACTGAATGGCTATGAGAGCTGTCCATCATGTGGTCCCACTTCTTGCAAATGACTGCTGGTGAGGGGCAGCGTTGATGGACAGCCCTCGCAGACAGCCAGCACCGAGGAGAGGGGCAAGGATGACAGTCATCTTGCCATGCTGGGAGCCCTCCTCCCTCCTTTCCCTCCCAGTCGGCTGTGCAGCAAAGCCGCAGCAGACACGAGGACTGCCGGCTCCCCAGAGGGAGCCAGAATCCTGTTTTTGGAAAGTTTCTTTTTTTTCAGGGAGCCTGCGCTTTTTTGCAGAGCCTGCCTAAAATCGCAGTTTGCACGAAATCGTGATTTCGTAATTTTCGTGGTGACTGCGATTTAGTGATTAGAGACTGTTAACGTGTGATTGGCTGATTGGTGACCTATGTAAAATGAGTTTCAAGGTTCTAGAGAACGCATGCAACAAACTCAAAGAGCAAAGGAGCCTCAGAGACTTCAAAAACACTTCCATTCCAAAGGACAACCCTATCTGAACAGGGTGGAACATGGTGGTGGGGTAGTGATAAGGCTTATACACACACTGCCTGTTCTGTAGAAAGAGGATTTCAATCTTTCAATTGTAGGCGTAAAACAGAACTTTTCCAAAGCAGAAAGTTGCCAAATTCCCACCTATCAGCTTGGAAGAAAATACATTTCAGAGAACCAACAGGTAAAAACTAGAGGTGCACCAGTATATCGGCGCCATATCGGATTGGCACCAATAAAAGGGAAATTAATATTATCGGCTATTGGCTTTTTTTGGCTGGTGCAGCTGATAATGTCACCAATAAATATAATACGCCTGCTGGCTGGGGCCCCTGGACGCCACATGCATGCATGCAGCTGCATCATGCACGTGGCCAGGAATGGAGCTGGTCAGTGTGGAGAGCAGTGCCCCTGCAGGTAAGTTTGTGAAGGTGAAGGAGCAGGGGGGGGCGGGAAAGGGCATGGAGGGGGACAGATCGAGGTCCCCCACAGAGAGGGAGCGAATGGGACAGGGGCACTGTCCAGCCAGGGTGGTACGTGGGAGTCATGGCTGGGGCAGGGAGCAGGACGGAGCCACTGGCAGCTCATCCAGGGGGTGCAGGTGGGGGAGGCAGCTCCCCACTGCTGCGTACACCCCCTGGGGAAGGTATGGAGGGGCATGCGCCACCCCATATGTGTGCATGGGGTGGATGTGGGCTGCCCACTGTGGGCTCGGGGCTCTCTGCCCTGCTGCCTTACTTCTGGTCCACTTCCGGGTTTGCTGGCAAGCGCGTGGAGGGCCCCCCCGCACTGCTGTGGGACGCACCGTGCACCCCAGCATCGCAGCGTTCACAAGCCACGCTGGTAACTCAAGGTATGGAGAAAAAACATTTAAAGCTGTGTCTATGTCTGAATCGCTGAATATCCAAATCAGCATCAAATCTTCAGAATCGGATTTGGTGGAATCAAATCAGGGACAGTGATCCGAATCAATGAATCGAATCACTGTCTCTGATTCAGGCCAGATACAAATCCAAATCGAATAGGGCCTGCTTTGTACACCCCTAATAATCGGCTATCGGTATCGACTAAGAATATCTTTATTGGTGCACCCCTAGTAAAGACAAGAAAGACTGTGCCATGTCCCAGTCACACAGCACGGCTAGTCAAAACCATTGCTATGGCTGGTATCAGTAGCATTTTTCTGTGATCCACTCCTGCCTCTATTAAAGCAGTAAGAGTAGGCTCAGGCCTCCTGTGCCTCGGTGAGTTTAACTGCTAAGAATTTAGCCAGAGTACTAACCACGCAAATCAACCCTTGTTTTTGTGAGGGGAAAAAAATAAGACCATGAGCTCTGTGCTTTGTTCTGGCCACATTAGTTCAGTGCACGGGACAGCTACAGAATTGTTCCTAGGCTGGACAACACATTAAATACAGACAGATTCCTTTCTAATTTTGCAAAATGACCCAAGTGTTCTGGAAAGCTGAAATTCTCTGAAGTCTGGGGGAACCAGAGCACAGGGGTGACTTTCACCCCATGTGCCCTCTTCTCCTTTTCCCTGCATGACACCCAGGAAAACGCACTGTTTTTGTCATATGGAAAAAAGAACCCAACCCTGGGAAATAAGGATATTAATTCGTGCCATGATGCTATGGATTCTTATATATTTTTCATCATATTTCCTTCCCTACTGCTCAGAACTTAAAATTGCGGCTTTGTTTAATCAGAATTAAAGGATAACACTAGGTGGCTAAATAAAAATTCAGTGATCAAAAAAAGATTTTTTAATGACTTTAGGTCACTAGTGACAAGGGCTCCTGGCAGGGAAAAAGGCTGACTTTCATTTTTTCATGTTACAAATCAGTGCAGATTATGGAACTGTACAGTCAGCAGGTGCTAAGAGGCAGCTCCATTTGCACTCTTCAACACCCATGATGCGTGAGCTATTAATCATAACACGTAGTGGGCTGCACAAGCTGAAACACAGATTTTCTGTTTTGCCCCCCAACGCTGTCTGAAGTGCCATAACGGACAAACTTCCTGTTTATACATCCTCAGATC